GGACGGCTTGTAACAAGCTGGACCTTGCCGACTGCAACTCTATGGGCACGATCCTGCCCGATGTGAGTGTGCTCTGCAAGGCTTGTTTGAAAGCTCGGCCCGGAGTGGTCGATGAGTTGCAAGGCTGATCAACATATTTTTGCATGCTCGCTGAAAAGAAAGAGCTCACCGCACGTTTTTGCCAGCATAGCCAATTTCCAAGTTCATTCATGTGTTTTTCAGATTTAAGTCCGGAAGGGGTGTGATCGTGGCAGCTCTCTGTGCTCAGTCCTGTTTTCTCGACCGGGAACATGGTCGATCGGACCGTTTACACTGATGCTGCTCACACGCCAGATCTGCCACTGAGACAGATCTTCGGCCGCCAACGCGTGCCAGAAGACTTGTGCAAGAGTCGCAGATTCCAAGCTCTTGACAGTGGAGACCTTTGCCATGTTAGGCGACACGATCGCTGCTGTCAAGACCACCCTCAAAGCTCTGATTCCTGATCCCTCACACTTAGGCCCGGATCCACCTGCTCAGGAACTCGCTTTGGCCACCCTGGCCGCGGTTTGGAAGACTTGCTCAACCATGCAGGATCACTTTGCCGCTCGGCGAGCCAAGATGGAGGAGGATCCATCCAAAGTGCCGGAAATTCCGGGTGAGGATCATGCTGAGTTCAGGGTGCAGTTCATCGCTCGACACCCAGACGTCGTTTTGCCCCATCATCGTGAACCTCACCGCAAGTTCGTGGAAAGACTCCAACGGGATTTCCTTGTTCATGGTGCAGTCAACTTCTATGAAGTGGGCGAGATGCGCACTCGCAATGAGTCGATCGCTCAGAAGTCTGGCCTCAGTAAGAATGCTGAGGATCTGCTCAAAGTCGTCCAGGTTGATCAGCCAGCTCATGCGGCCTCCGAGTCCCAGGTCATGGACAAGCTCCATGCTTTCTTTGTGGCTCTCGAATACCTCAACATTTGTGAGTTCTCCTACAAGGCTGGCCCGTTGCAGTACCTGGCTGATTTGGAGGAGTGGCGCCATGAGAATCGTGGCTTGGCGTTGCTTCTCTCGGCGGACACCCTGATCAGGAAGAAGGTCTACCGCCTGAATTCTGATCACAAGCAGACCTACCAGACTTTCTCAGACGCCTTGCTCGAGGTTCTGAAGAATCACAAGCAATTGTGGAATGACGCTCGCTCCAGTGCTGAGCTTGATAAGTTCAAGCAAGCAGGTCACTCGTCCTCTCTGCCGACAACACCTCCGAGAGGTCAGGGCGCCAAGAGATCGCGATCGTCGACTCCGCCAGCTCCAACAGCTAAAGCTCGCAAGAACAAGGCGCGCCGTGAACGTGCCAAAGAACAGTTGAAGGCCTTGAAGGCCTCGCAGGGCGGCTCCGCCTCGTCCCGCAAAGAGAAGACCGCTACGGGGGCGAAGCCTTCACGGGACGCTCGCATCCCGGCCGAAGAATGGACCAAGGTCAACTCCTTCAAGTATTCCGGCCCTCGGCGATGCCCGTTCTGCAACTGTTCTAGTGGATGTCGGTTTGGTGATCAGTGCAAGCGCAAGCACGCCTGTGTCGAGTGTGGCCAAGGCCACCCTTGGCACGGGAACCACTGAAACTCGTCACCACCCCCTCGGGAGGTCATGACCCCGCCCCCGGGGGAGTTTGAAGGGGTTCCGGCGGCTGCTCAGTCGCCGCTACGGTGCACAAGACCATGGAACTCGTGGCCGGAGGTCCCTCGGGACACCCGCCAGCTGCTGGCGCACGGCCGGTTTTTCTTAGAGGTTTTCGCTGGAACCGCTCGGTTGACACAAGAAGTTCATCGTTTGGACATGGCTGTTCTGCCGCCTCTGGACGTGGAGCTCTCCGACTGGGTACCTGTTCTGGGCGATGTGCTCGATGTTCACCTCTGGGACCATGTCATGGCCTGCGCCTATGCTGGTGTGTTGTTCTTCGTTCATTTCGGGACTCCGTGCAACACTTTCAGTTCCGCTCGCAAACTGGACAACGGGCCTCCACCGCTGCGGTCGGCTGCAGCACCCATGGGGCTCCCTTCTTTGTCTCCAGACAATGCGGCTTTGGTCTTCTTGGGCAATGCTTTTCTGCACCGCTCGGTGGAACTCGCGCTGGTCGTCTTCAACGATGGTGGTGATTTCTCCATTGAGAACCCGCTGCTCAGCCTCATCTGGGTCACACCGCCGATGCAGCAGCTGGCTCGGTTGGCACGCACTTTGGACATGGACTTGGATCAATGTGTTTTTGGAGCTCCTTCAGTGAAGCCCACCCGGATCCGGGTCTCGTCAGAGTTCCTCTGCAACCTCCAACAGACCTGTCAAGGTGGTCATGCTCACGTGCGCCTCAAGGGCAAGGTTTGGGATCCCAAGCGCAACAAGGTGGTCTATCGCACTAAACTGGCTCAGGAATATCCCTTTGCTTTGTGTGCGACTCTGGCACTTGGTGTTCAACAAGTATGGCTCCAACAGTTGGATCACTTCCAGCCCTCCTTTGAGCTGTGCACGCCAGCCTCCGATCGGAAGCGGGCTCTTGGCTCAGGGAAGATGTGGGCGGGCCACCGCCAAGCGGCAACTGCTCAGCGTGCCCTCCAAGCAGGCTACCAGCTCAAGCGCGGAGCGCAGAAACCACTTCTGGAGATAGAGCTCGAGCCAGGTCAAGCTATTCGCTGGGCTCTCGAGGTCGTTCACCCTTTCTCCGTTCCAGCAGAGGTGGATCCTGGACTGGCTGCGGCGATCGACCGCCTGGCCGCTGATCTGCCGGCCACTGTGGCCACACGCCTAGAAGCTCTTCGTTTTTGGGAATCTGAGGCGCATCGCCTGCTGCCGGTCTCCCTTGCTCGCATTGCGGCTCAGCCAGACCCTGATCTTCGCAGGCTCCTGCGCGGCGGGCCAGATGACGAACCCGCCCTGCTGGGCCAGGTGTGCCATGTCGCTCTGTATGAGGCCATGCTGCAGGCCGTGGGATCCTGCGACATCTCTTTGGTGGAGAAGTTGCTCAACGGGTTCGCCATCGTCGGCACTATTGGCCGCTCGTGTCGCTGGCCGCCTTATGACAAGCCTCAAAAAGTTCTTCCAGTTGAACATGCTCTCGCACGGGCCTGGGCAATCCGAAAAAAGATCATCACAAGAGTGGCTGCGGTTCCGGTCTCAGAGAACTTGGTGAAAATTTGGGAGGCCACGCTCGAAGACTGTAGAGAAGGATCCTGCAGAGGCCCCTGGATGTCAGAACATGAGATCTCTGTGTTTCTGGGCTGCCAAGACTGGATCCCAACTCAACGTTTCGAGGTGGTTCAGAAAAACAAGGTCAGAGGCTGCGACAGTGCCACAACCAATTTGATCAACCAAGTCACCGAGATCTCGGAGAAATTGCAGCTGCCCTCAACGGATTCTAATGTGGCCGCTTTGAGGAAACTTCGATCGGAGTTCCCTTCCAAGAAGCTGGGTGGGTGGGTCCTCGATGAGAGGAAGGCCTACCGACAAGTGGCAATTCGTCCTGATCAGAGAAAGTTTTCGGTCATTTGTCTTAAGAATCCCGAGACTGATCAGCCAGCTTTCTTTGTGATGGTAGGGCATTCTTTCGGTCTAGTTTCTGCGGTCTACAATTATAATAGGAGATCCGCTGCGATCAACGAGATTTTGGTTAAGTTGTTCAATTTGATTGCTTTTAGCTTTTATGACGACAAATACGGGTTTGAGCCCGTGGACTCTGTGGAGAGCGCTCGCCTAGCAGCAGAGTGTGTCCACACGTGGCTTGGGGCGCGCTATGATCAGAAGAAGCTCCAGCTGTCCACGACGCCGACCGTTTTAGGTGTCACCTACAACCTGGACGAGATGCAGCTCGAAATCAAGCCCGATCGGCGACTAGATCTTCTGAGTGAAATTCAGGCGATCCTGGATGCAGATCTGCTGGACCCTGGGACGGCAGGGAAGCTGAAAGGCAAACTCATGTTTGGGGCTTCCCAGCTCTGGGGCAAGATTGGTAGGGCTTTTCTTAGGGTGATCTCTGAACGACAGTACATGAGGACCCCTTGAAATCCAGCTTTGGGTTGGACCCTGCTCTGAGAGAGGCGCTCGTCCAGTGGAAAGATTTGGTCGACGCGGGCCCACCCAGGACGATCGATCAGCAAGTCTCGAAGAAGGCTGATGTGATCATTTTTACAGATGGGTTTACCCCCGATCCACGTGACAAGTCCCAGTCAAGGTTACCGGATCGTGTGGGCGCTGTGATGTTTGATCGCCGGCTTTTGAGACCTAAACAGTTCTCGGAAGTCATCCCAAAGGGCGTGAGTGAGAAGTGGCTCCAGAGGACCACGCAGATTATTCCGATCGAGATGATGGCTCCTGTTTTAGCTCTCTCCTCGTTTGCCGATCGTCTAGTCAATTCAGACGTGATCTTGCTCATTGACTCTGAGGCGGTTGAGGCAGCCCTGATCAAAGGCTACTCAAGCAAGTCAGACGTCTGCTTGATCATCTCGGTATTTTGGAAGTTAGCTCTCAAACTCAGGTGCCGCATTTTCATCGATCGTGTTTCAACTGACGCCAACCCAGCGGACTGGCCCTCCAGGAACGACCTGGTCAGAGGCCAGACGGCAGGTTGGAGTACTGTTCAAGCAGTGTGGCCGAAGTCGCTCAGCCGTGACGGAGGTAGGGCCCGGGGGAGTGATCATGATGCTCTGTCGACCGGTTAGATCTCCTGCAGA